TCGAGAGAGACTTGTGGAGTATCAGAGCCGGAAACAATCATGAAAACCAGGTAGTCCAGCCCCCTGCTTTTAGCGATGAGGCTACAGAGCTGAGGAAGGTCGAGTGATTTATCCAGGTTACATGGCTGCAAGGAGGGGTAGAGAGCCAGGACTAGAACAGACCTAAGCCAGTATATTTCCAACATTATCACATATTGCTAATCATCTAAAGCACTGAGCCAAAGTATGAACCATGGATCATAAGTGAGAGAATCTTAGCAATAGAAGAGACCTTGGAGGTCAGGTAGCGCCATCTCCCTCCTGATGCAGAAATCCTCTTGGTGACATCCTTGAAAGATGGCCACTATTCTCTACTGGCTTAACTCTGATGCCAGAAAGCTCAGTGCTTTACAAGGCAGCTTGTTTTGTCTTTGGACAAAAGGTCAAACTTGTATTTTTAAAAGATCAGTCCAGAAGGAGTGAGGGTGGCCAGAGGTGAATGACATATTTTTAGTGATGGTGAGGAACTTTACTCTCTTTATCATCTTAAAATGAGGATAATAATGCTGACCGTGTAGTGTCATTGTGAGGATTAGAGGTGCAGTTTATAAAGCATCTACCATAGTGGTTGCTTCAAAATAAGAACTCAAATTATAGTCATCATTGGCTTTTATCATCATGATCCCATTTTTTTGAAATTATGCCCTCTGGAGTAGCATAGACTACATCTAATCCCACAAATATTTAAAAGCAGTTAGCATGACCCTCTAAGTCTTTTCTTCTTCAGACTAAATATTCCCTGATTCTTTTACGGTTCTTCCTGTAAAGCATTTTGGATGCCTTCATTGCTTTCATTCCCTCCTGTTTGTCAATTTCCCCCTTAAAATGTGGTGGCCAAATCTGGTCAGTTCAACGTGCTCTACAGGGGAATAATTACTTCCCTTGATCTGGACATTGCACTTCTCCTACAGCAACCTAGATTTATGTTAGCATTTTTGGAGGCCAGATCATAAATTTGGCTCAAGTAAAACCTGACTCTACTACCCAGAACATAAGCTATGCCTCCCAACATTGTGTCAACTGCAGATTTGATAAGCATGATTTTTACATCTTCATCCAAGCTGTTGATAAAAATGTTGAACAAGAGAAGGCCAGAGTCTGAGCCTCGAGGAACACCTCCGATCCTTCCCTGTATATTGACCCCCATCCGCTGGTTTGGTGACACTGTTTCATCAGCTCCAAATCTCTGCACCTATACTAGCAAAAATAACTCCGCAAGATGTGGTCACTCGTTGTGTTTTTGAAACTGGATATTTAATTTATCTGGAGGTAAAGTGCCATTCTTTTATCAATGAAGACAGGTTTTGAACCCATAATTGGGAAAATGTGAACTCAGAAAATAATTTCATGTTTGAGTTACTATGTAATGCTTAAAGGGAAAAAAAAATCATCTCCTCTTAATGTGAAATGATAATGCTTGCCTAATTGTTTATTTTTCCAAAACATTTTGAAATTACTCTCTGGGTCTGGGGGAGGGAGTGTGGAGAATTTGTGGATTTCATGTGTGGTAGAAAAAAGAGATTATTGAAGAATTAGAATACAACTTTTAGGAGCCTTTTCCATCTCAGGTGGAAATCACAGAGTCAAAGAGATGTCTTAAATGTTGGTGGGAGAGGATGTGAGGTATAGTCCTGCATAGTTTTTCAAATTCTTTTTAATGATTCTCATTAAAGAGGCCGTTCTTTCTTTGATTTAACACACTTCCCTCTGAAGAAATCAAACCAACTTCTTTGTGCCATAGCACAGATCGGTTTTTCCTAGTTTTCATGGTGGAGATAAGGAATTGTTGTTGCCAACCTTTGAGCCAAAGTGCTCAAAGATTCAGAGCTCACTTCTTGGCATCTTCCTCCAAGGGCTCATTTAATATTTTCTCAAAGGCTTTACTTCCAGTTTACATCCCATGTTTGTGGATTTCTTCTTAACTCTGGTCCTTTCTATTTCTCTAGCCCATAATCAAACAAGCACCTTAATATCTAAAACTCTATTACTGTGAGCATACTTTGAGATCTCAAGGTAAATAAACAAAAAGTTAGCACTCTCAAAAATTGACCAGGGAATAAAAGACCCCCTCATACTGAATATTTTAGGAATGTCCATTTTATAGTTTACTCACTCACTCAGTATTTATTGAGCACTTATTATATTCCAGGCACTGATCTAGGCAACAGAGGCAATGGGAAGTAAAGTCAGATTTAGTCTCTTCTCATATTGTGCTTACGTTCTCTAGGAAGAAACATGTTAATCAAACCAAAACTATTGTGAACTTGTAAAAAGTGTTGCGAAGGGGAGGGTCCCCATCACTACAGAGGTCAGGGAAGTCTTCCTCACATGATGCTTAATCTGAGATTTGAAGGTTGAGTCAGGGGAGGGCCCAGGTAGCAGAAAACAGCATATCCCAAGCCCCTGTGCTGAAATGGAGCACGGGCAGTATGAGGGCAAGAACATGCTAGAAAGGTGGAGTGAAGAGCAGAGAGCAAGAGTGAGAATAGCGTGAGATGAGCTGGGAGGTAGGAAGGGTCCCCTATAGGCCTTGTAGGTCACACAAAGAGTCCTCTCAATGTCTTCTGAACCATGAAAGCCATCTAAGAAGCTTGTCGGGTGGGGGTAGGAGAGTGTGGTTGGGTAAGGAGAATTGTATGATATGATTAGTTTTGTCTTTCGAAAAGATCACTGTGGCTGTATATAGGCAAAAGGAGAAAGGGAAGCCATAGTGAGTGACAGGTCCGTTAGGATACCACTATCAAGTCCAGGAAAGGAGATGATGCTGGTTGGGTGTAGGTTGGCAGAAGGTGAAATGGAAAGATAGAAAGAGATGAAGGATGTGTAGGTTGAATTTGCAATACTAGGGGACTGCATATGGGGGTGATGGAAGAGGTATCAAGGGTAACTCAAGGAGGGTTCATACATTTTATATCCTTCTTTGGCAATTTAAAGATTATTATTTTAAATTTTAGATTATGTAGCTCTACTCATAATCCTTGATAGCACAGCACAACAGAAATAATTCTAGAAAGAAAGTCTGAAATCCTTCTGTGCCTCAGATCTATTATTGGCAAAGTAGGTGACTTTGATGAAAAGTGATGAAAAATGACTTGATGAAAGATGAAAGATGAAAAATGGTTGAGTATCTCCGAGGATCCAAACAACGGAGGAAAAAAAAAATATTTGTAATTGTTGACTTCATCAAGGCCTCATTAAGGCCCAGGGAAATATGTTTGTTGAGGCTCACTTTCAAAAGAAGTAACACAATTATCTTTATTTTCATTATTATTTTAGTTCAATTCTCTATGTCTCCAGGCCCTATAAAAAGAACTTAAGCATATCCCTACACTGTCACTCCAACACAAATCACCATTTCCTTTCATCTCGCTTTAACCAACCACAATATTTTCCCACGTCAGAAAGACCTTCCAGTGTATAAGAGGAGCCTTTGGACTGCGTGTGTGTATAAAAGCCTGTTCATGCCTCTGGGATCCCACGATAACACAGTCAGCTCGCAGTCTAAACCAGGTGCCCAGTTTCCATCTGGACTCCTGACAAACTGTGTGGTCAGGATTTAGAAATCAGAAATCTGGGAAAGGTGCAATATGATGGACACAACCACCCCAAATACCATATATGTTATCACCATCATTTAACACATAGTGCAGGAAATCCTGTTCTTTGCAGAAGAACTTCAAAGAACCACTTCTGGTTCTCCTGGGTAACATTTATTTTTTTCTTTGCTAACCCCAAAGCGCAGACAGATATATATTTTCCCTCTAGTAAATTGCTAGTGACACTCCATTTCTTTCCTGCCATCCTCAACCCCATTGTCCAACTGACCTCTCGAATTTCACTACCCTTCTAGGCTGAGGAGCTGTGCTTAGCTATTTACAGAGGCCCACTTACTTACTTGGCTTTACCCTGTACTTTCCCTTTCTTTTCTAGGCTCTGAATTTCTCACCTTTTAGCTCTGCCATGTTGATGAGACCTCCTCTGCCCCTGTGTGAATCCTCTTCTTTTGTCCCAGTAACTTTTTTTTCTAGAAAGAGCTGTCTTTTAAGACAGCTTTACCTTGCATGTTTTACCTTACTTTTGCATTTTAAACAAAGAAACCTTGATTCAAGTTATCAGAAATAAGCACATGATATTAGTTCCCTTCAGTGACTGGGATGTCTCATTTAGACCTTCACTAGTTTATTCATACAATGTATGTTTACTGAGTGCCTACTGTGTTCCAAGCACCACGAGAGAGAGTTACGAACATAAACATTCTACGTTCTAGAGTAAGACAGTGAACAAGTAAATGAACAAGCAGTCATTGTTCTGTATTCTGTTATTCCATAAAAATTGTTAGAGATTGATTTTATGGACATGCAGCAGAAAGTTGCAACTTTTGCTCTTGGCATTGGATTCCAGACACCTGGTCGTCTGTTCCAGTTATCCATCCTCACTCTCCAGGTAGTTGAACTTGGGTCATGAGTACCCAGATTATGATTTGGAAAAGTGGTAGTTTCCTGGGGAAAAAAAAGTAGGTCGTTGGCCACTCTCATAGGACTGAAAAAGAAACAATGACCCAGTGTGCGTGTCATTCAAAGCAGGATGTTGAGCAGTTCTTCACTAAATCATAGTATTGTGCACTTACCATGGAAATCATTTTCAAATGCAGTATATATCACACCAATTCAGAGAAGATATGCACCAAATGTCTCTGATATAAACCTCACATCAGGATGGCGACAGAGTGATTAGTGAACTTCATGGTATTTTCTTATGTGCTTTACTGTTAGGGTAAATAGTTATTTTTCATCTGCTCATAGTTGTAAGTTATCACAAGATGGATGGATCCATGGCTTGCCAGAAGCCATAACTCTTTATTTAGTTGACATGACCAGATTCCTAATTTCGTCCTCTGAGAGCTTGAGAGTACAATAAAACATTGACTTCTTCTGACCTTCCCCTCTGTCTTCTCTGGGCAGAATATCTCGATGCATAACACAGTTGGTGGGGCCATGGCAGGGCCCGGAGCTCACCAGCTTGGCAGCACCCGGATGCCCAACCATGACACCAGCGTTGTGATTCAGCAAGCCATGCCGTCACCCCAGTCCAGCTCTGTCATCACCCAGGCACCTTCTACCAACCGCCAGATCGGGTAAGGAGACTTCCTCGGCTGTCTCTGGGGCCTGGCTGGAGCTCGGAGAATGTTCTGGACTTTCTCCTTGTTTCTGGTGCTCAGACTGGATGAGACAGAAGTTGGTGTTCCTGGTTGGCATGAAATCACCTGGCACTTAGAGTGATGCTTTTAATGGGAGAAGGGAGGGGAGCCCCCATTTGGTGGAGACTATTTGATCCTGGACTTTGGGAGACAAAGCAAGTCATTCTGTGTCATCATTTCTTCAGACAAGATTTGTGACTGTGGAAAACGCCTTGGGTGTTATGGAGAGCAGAGCATAGTTTCCAGGACAAATGCTTAAGGATGGTAGAGGGAAGTTTCACCAGCCCACTTTCCTCCCCAACAGAGTGTGTCCCTTTTTTCCTAAGATCTGCTAAGCACATCCCCTGGGTCTTTCATGTATTTCCAGTCTTCCTTCCTCCGATGATTCTTCCTTGCTTCTTTTCCTTGTTAATACCTCTTTATTAGCTCTCCCCTTCCTCTGTATTGGTCCAGGCTCATTCCTGGTGTAGACAAAACAAAAAAAAAGTAAGCCGTTTCCCCCTCATTTATGTAAAAAAGACAATAGTGTGGTATTGAGCAAAATTGGTAGAAAGCTCCTGTCAGAATCCCAGACACTCTGAATTTTCACTTCTGAGTCTCAGGTGACAACTCTAGCCCTTGGCTACTCGAGTGTGGTCTGAGGACCCGAAGCCTGGGCATGACCCGCTAGCTTCTCAGAAATGCAGAATCTCTGGCCTGCTTCCTTACCTTCAGGATGATGGTGGTGTGTCTTCTTTCCACCCTTACAAGAGCAGAGTGAAGACGAAATAAAAGATTTAAGAGCAGTCAGGTTCTTAGGAAGAAAAGGTAGTAACTTAAGCCAAAGTGCTCTGATAAATTTATATTGCTGGAAGCTGAGAACTGCTTGCTGTATGTTCCCAGAATTCTCTCTTTAAAATAGGAAAGGGAGCTTGCGGTGTTTAGTATGTGCAGCAGAATTTAGTGTGAATATTCAGTTGAATATTGGATATGGTGATTTAAAAAAAACCCATTAGAAGCTGCCTGACAATTTGCCACTGTGTCTTTCCCCCTTTGTTTTTTTTTTTTTTTTTTTTTTTAAGATTTTATTTTTAAGTAACCTCTACACCCAACGTGGGGCTTGAACTGACAACCCCAAGATTAAGAGTTGCATGCTTTACCAATTAAGCCAGGCACGTGCTATCCCCGCCCCCCCCCCTTTTTTTAATGCTTGTAAGGATTTCAGATAAGAGTGAGCACCAGGAACAATGTTGGCTTATTCCTCCTTAGAATGCCCTAGAAGGGGGGGGGGGGTACCTTGTCTCTCACATTTCTCAACTTACCAGATGGGTTGTGATTTGCGAAGACCCATCTTAACAAAAGAGAGCTGTGGGCAGTGACTGTTTTGTGAGTCTGTCATGGGTACATTTGGTTTCCCATTTAAGAAACAGAATATTACTCTGGCCATTTGAATGCTTTACTTTGTTAGAAGAAGCCAATACTAAATTAGATAGTATCCCTGTTAAATATTTCTTTCCTTTTCAAATGACTATGGGGGCAGATATTGCCACCATCCAAAGCAAGAACCTATAATACACTAAGAGAGTGGGGTGGGTTCTTTAAAGACAGCATCTAAATTTCAAGGGACTCTTTCACTCTAGTGGTTTGGCTTTGGGCAGACAATCCACAGTTAGGCCAGCTAATTATAATTATTTTATTTTTCTTTCAAGGGGAAAAAACATAAAATGTGTTGGAGTTTACTAGCAGTTTTATAACATTCCTCCCCCCCTGGAGTTCTCCTGCCTCCCCCTCTCCCCACCCCAGCTACCCTCTTGGACATCCTTAGTATTGTTAGTACAATGCTGGTTTTTGTGAAACAATCTTTTAAGGGTTAGCACTCAATTCTAAGATGGGTGTTGACTCTGTCAATAATTTACCCAGCTGGCCCAGGGCTGTACAGTTGGGTGACATTTCTAGGCTGTGTCACTGTGCCTGGATGAGTGGGAGTGTTTCTCTGGTACATGTGACCTCCCAACCCACTCCATCTTCTCATTTACTCCCAATCCTGGGGTGTTGTGTGTCTCTCCTGGTGTGTTCTAGGAGATAATTGTCACTTTTGGGACTCTGTCTCATTGCCAAGCTTGAGGGAGGCTGCTTCTTTTCTTCAGATCCTTCCCTGTCGTGCTTACCATGTTGATTCCAACCCACACATCCTGTCATTTCCATTTTCTCCATGTGACCCATCCAAAACCTTGCCCGGATGGCCATGAGGGCTCAGCAAGGAACAACCCAACCCATCTCACCAGTGGATTCAGAATGAAACTCTAGGTGGTAACATTTGGGGATGGTTGACTCTTTTATTTCTCCCAGCAAAGAGGAAATGAGTACTTATTTTAAAACATGAGTTCCCTCTGGAGACTGTGTCTTTAAATGAGCATTTGAAATTGCAGATAGTTTTTTTTTTTTTTTTTTTGAGACTGCACAGAACCATATTGTAGTAATATTCTGATTTTTATCACAACCTCAAATATTTAAGTGTCAAAATCTGGCCAAGCCACCTGCAAATGTTTGCCATGGCTACTGGCCAACAAAAACAGCAAACAGCAATGAAAGTCTTCATTCAGGCTCAGCGCTTAAGCTGCATCCAAGCAGGGAGACTGGGACCCACCTGTGCCCACGCACAGTGCTTTTTGCTGTGGCCAGTGGGTGTGTTCACGGCTGGAACTTTGTGGGAGAGGGAGGGGGCCGCCTGTCTCCTGCTCCCTCTTTTTTCCTTCTCTTCTCCCAGTGCTTGGCTTCTGCTGCCAACCTTACTTTTGCTTTCTTTTCTGCCCCTTCTTTCATGCTGTATTTAAGCTTAGAGGCTTGAATGTATTGGGAATGGTGTGGACAAGGAAGGGCTTGGAAATGGGAATAGCACTGGTGTCTGGGGAAGATTTTGGGGGACTAAATGTATGCATTTCTGTAAGCATTTGATTTTCATGTTTTTTGAGCAGGCGCTGAGCCAATGTAGACCAAAATAGGTGGAAATGCAAAAATCCAAAGAAATAAATGTGAAAGTAGGTAGATAAGCAACATAGGCAACGTCCGTGCCATCCCATATCACCCCCCACCATGCCCTATGCCCAGTTCTGTCAAAGTAATGCTGTTATCCCAATAGAAACTGGAGGTAAGTATAAATATCCCAAATTGCACTCATGTGGTTAGGCAGGCTAGAAAAACACACAGTGCTAGAGAGTGTGGGAGGCATCCCCAAACTAGAGACTACTTGTGCTTAGTCAGACTGGCAGACGCTCTGTCGGGAAGAGTGTCTTTGGCTGATTGATGGTAGCATTTTAGGAGATAAGTTTTCCAGATGGAAAAAAAAAAAGGGTTGAGCCATGGGCTGTGGGGGAGACAAGTGAGACAGAAAACAAGCATGTGTTAAATATAGATGAAATTGATTCAGCCTTGGACCAAATATGTGGCAGATTCCAAGCAGTATCTCTATTGCAGTCATTTTTATTAGATATCATGTAACAGGCTCATTAATTCAGGATTAAGTCAGCAGAACCTGGGAAAAATGGTAGATGAGCATGTAAGTGGTCACGTACATCCCTTTCTCTGTCTCTTACTCTCTCTTTGTCTCTCTCTGTCTCTCTTCACATGAGATGTTTTTGTAGGAGCCAATGAGCAGTTGAGGAGGTGGCTATAATCTTAATAGATTCCGGCTTACCTAAAGAAGCCTATTTCTCTTTATGGAGTAAGTGTGAGCAGGTAATTCATGCTCAGTAATTCTTCAGGAGAGCAATGAAGATAGTATGGAATGTGGAGATCGGCAAGAATGGACATGAGTACAGAATTCTGATAGGTTGTGGGAGGCACTGCCACTGTATTCCACACGTTTTCTTCCTGTATTCTTTTTGTATTCAAAATGTTCTACAAATTCAATTCTCTGTAGGGATTTGGGCAAATAAGCAAGCTTGCGAGGTGATTGGTGAAAATTATTTGATCATAATAGTTTACAATACAGAAATGTTCTATGCCTAACATCAAAATATACAAGTGTTCCTACCAAGGCTCATATTTGGACAGAAGATATCTGGCTCATTGTGGAATATTCTAATTAAAATATCAGGAAACTTGAAAATATGGTCACCAGCATGTATCTGTGAAGCCATGTATGTATGAAATTCCTCCCTGATTTTACATCGCTTATATTCCCGGCACATACATGTCCATGTCCATGTCCATGTGATGTCATAAACCCTATTTGCATGGGGTTGTAGCCAGGCAGTATACACCTAATACTTAGCCAGAAATTTATATAAAATGCCATAGAAGCAAATCTTGTTTTATGTAAAATAAAGAGAAGCCAATACTCATCATAAATTGTGCCTTCTCTCACCCTTTCTGCACTTCTTTCTCTCTTTTCTCTTTGCAATTCCTGACACTATGTATCACACAGAATATCAGGTGTAGCTCAGTGGACATGACCAAGGAAAATAATAATAATAGTAATAATAATAAAAGCTTGTTACATCTCAGACGTGTTGTTGTCAAAAGCAGCGCTACCTTTTCTACCAGAGTCATATGGCTTTGTTGTAGGAGTTGGTGTTGCTGTTTGAGGTGTCCATTGAGATGGGAATGGTAATTGATTTGAGGATTTTTGTGTCACTGTTGCTCGGTGGGGGTGGGGGGGATGGGAGGTCCATAAATGATGCTGTCACAGAAAAGCAACATTTAAAGAAGACTTCAGTAGGACAGCTTAGGAATGTGCTTGCTCTGTAAATGCGTAGGTGTGTAAAATCACTATTAAGAGTTTTCTTGAGCTGAGCATGATTAAGACTGTCACTGCCCACCACAGGCTGATGCCAGTGACATCCAGGCCAGCCTTCTTTCTGCTGGAGGCAGCAGACCAGCAGGTCCCAGGTTGTCACTGACTCACAGCCCTTTGCCAGGATAGCTTGAAGACCCCCTTGAGGAATTCAGAAGAGAAG